AAAAGGTAGGCAGCGGGTTTAAAAAACAAGAGTCCGCCGGGGGGTAGGGACCATTTAAATTCGGAATCTTGTTGCACCGGGGTGTTCCCCGGGGTGAGGAGGTTCTAAGGAACTTACAGGTTTTTATCCGTGACCTTAATGTTTTTACTTAAGCATGGTTTAAAAATACATCCGTAACTATCTGAAGAGCCGTTTATATATACAATGGGACCAGAACCAAAAGAAGAAAGAGTTAAATCCCCCAAACGGACCCCATTATTGGTTGAAAAAATTAATAGTTTAAAATTGACGTCGTCCCAACGTGACGGGTCAACCCCGGGTTTTTACTTTAAGAGGTAAGGGGGTTTCCAATCCCCCGGAACCACGTAGAAGGTTTGACCACGGAGGGTGCTTCAGCTAATGCTAATTAGGGGACAAGGGAAGGCTAAAGGTTTTAAAGGCTTTTATAGGGCTTTACGGGTTAAAGGGTGCTTTAAGGGGTTATGTTACCAACGTAGGGGGAGGGTTAAAGAAAGGGGAGATCATAATGACCCCGTGGGTTTACCGAATAAAAAAGGTAGTTAAGGTAATGGTTACGGGGGGTGGTCATTTATGGTTATACCGTTGAGGAGAAAAAAAAAATGAATAAAATCTTTTCAACCGAGTTTTCCTTTTTAAGGTTACTTTGTTAAGTTTTACAATAACCTGGGTTAAGTTTTGAAATATTTTGTTTAAAGTTCACTTAAAAACCAGTAATCCAAGATTTCGGAGGGATATAGCACACCCCACCTTTTTAAGAAAGGGTAGGGAGTTTTTTGTTTTTTTTTTATTTACGGAAAGACGTAAGATCGACGTTCCGGGGGAAGAGATCGGGGGGTTGTCAGGAAAGGACCAAAAAAATTTTTTTTTCCTGGTTGGAACTTTTTTAACAGGGGGACCTTTTACAAACCCTCCGGGGTAGTGGTCGTTGTTTCTGGGAAAACTTTCAGACTTGCGTCTTTCTTTGTTGTCCCCTCCATAACATTGTTTATCGGTTCACCCGCGCGCTGCTCGCCTCTTTTTTAATGAACTTTTGTAAACAACCCCGCCGCACCCGGTTAAATGTAAAAGGGCAAGAAGCAAGGAACGAAAAGACAAATTGTTTTTTTAGCTCCTACTCCATTTTTTACTCTTTTAATGTCCAGAAATCGGAAAAAAAGGTAATATAAGTTTTCAACCCCTGAATTTCGCAACCTTTATTATTTTGTTGGCCAAAAAAATAGTCCCGCAGGTGATAACGGAAAAGGTGAAAGTAAATTAAAAAGTCCGCTCCCCCGGCCCCCCCCCCCAAACCCCTTCCTTGCCTCCTTCCCCGGCCACTAAGCCCGCTTTTTTTCGGAAAAAAAAAAGAGGACGGGGCCCGAGTGTTTTAAATTTGTGTGGCATATTATGGAGCAGGACCGGGGTTTAACGGAAATCTCCCTTGTAAAGTTTATTTTTTTTGGAGCGGTTAGAGTTCCCCTGAAATTTAAATTTGGGTGGTTTTTTTTGGGGACCTTTTTTGTACTTAAACCCATTGCCGTTTAAAATTGAAAAAAACTTTTTTTTGGGTTATAAGGGGGGGGACCCAAAACCCAGAGAACTTCGGCGTTGGCCCTGGTCGGCCCTTTTTTCCAACCCCTAAGGTCTTCGCCCAAGGGAAGACGGGGGACCAAAAACCAAAGAACCTGGGACCCACCAAGGGAACAAAACCCCCACCCTCTTTTCCGTCTGGACCGAGGGGCACCCCACCACCCCACCCAGGCGGACCAACGGGGGCCGACAGGTTTTGCAAGAACAAAAGGGGACTAAGAGGACCCGCAGGTGGCTGGCTAAAACTTTTATAATTTTTCAACCCTGGGTCCTTTTTTTTTTTGGCAATATCGATTTTTTTCGGGGGCGCCGCCTTTTTTAGTTCCCTTTTCGGGGTTGCAATGGATGCGGATATTAGGCTTTAATAGAAGGCGGTAACCCGGGGTTTAGCTATGGGCTTTAGGAGGGTGCAGGGCGGTAGCGTTACGGTAGCCTTCTTTTGGGCTTTAATAAAAAGTTGTGGGATTTAGGCTTCTTCCCCCTTAAAAGGGGAATCGTTTTCCTGATTTTACGTTTTACCAAAGGGGTCAACTTACGTCTTGTTCACCAAGGGGTCAATGTATTTACACGCTATTATCTTTAAGGTTATAAAACCATAAATAATTAAAAAAAATTGACTGGGAAAAATGAAACCTGGGGACCCTTAAGTAAGTACTAGAAATTGTGGGTTTGTTTACAAGTCAAATGTCGACCGAAAAAAAACCTTATGCTAGACCAAAGTAACTTTTGTACCCCACAAGCCGCAATGTTCAAAACCACCCTTTTTCTAACCCCTGGTAAAGGACTCGTTTTACAAAAACCCCAAAAAACGGGGGTCTCGGCTTCTCTTTCTTAAACCCTTTTCTTTCCCTCTTGGGGTCGGTCACCCACCCCTCTTTGGCCTCCGGGGGGAAAGTCGGAAACCAATGCAAACAAAAGGATCACCCCGGCATTTTGTTAAAAAATACGAAAAAAAGTTGACAAAATAACCCATTGAAACAAACCCACCTTTGATTAAAAGTTTTAAAAAATGGATTAAACCCGGGAAATACCCCAAGTCCCCCCCCCTTGGGGTATTACTTAGGGGTTACCGTTTGTTTCCCCCTTTACGTTGGAAGTTCTTGAAAACAAACATCGGTTGCTCAACCCACCTTCATACCCCAAAACTTTTGTTTACCCTTTAAAAAACACAAAAAACTTTACACCCAAGTGGGAACAATCTTGGTTTCCCATTACACTAAATTTATAAAAACCCAAAAAACAGATTAACCCCAAATTAAGCAAAGAAAAGGACCGGAACATTCCTTTTTTGATACTATGATGTCTCCAGGGGTTGGGGGGAAGGCGGGGCACTAAACCTTTCCAGGTTACCCTAGGGGTTTAAGTTCGCCCAATTAACAAAGAGGGTCAAAAAGAAACAAAAAAGAGTGTAGAACTTCTGGGGACATGTTTGGCATTGTTAATTTAATGTGCTGGAACTTTATAATTTCAATGAGGAATTAGGGGGAGTTTTAATCATTCGGGTATTGTAAGGGGAAGGAACGTTCATGACAAAATGCCCCGGGTTCGGGTTCTGTAAATTTTAGGGTAAATTATTATTTACAAAAAAGGGGTATTCAAACAGACAAGTTAGACAGAACCCACAAAAAAATTTTTTGTTTTTAATGGGGAATCTTCGTCGTTTTCTTTAATCCCTTTTTGGTATGGTAAACCAACCCAATTTGAAGGGGGCTAAATTTCCAAAAACTTTCTATAAATAAGAATTTAATCCTAAAGTCAAACACGTAGCAGTTCAAGAAAATCGTTTTTTTAAAGGCTAAAATTTAGTGGGTTTAAAAATTGTTTTGACCAACAATATTTTGGACGGGGGTTCAGACCCCTTCCAATTTTGGCAAGGGGTTTGTGTTTTTGAATTTCTTAAAACAAATCGGTTTGTTCTTCGAGTTGTCGTAGATTTCAATTTTATTCTTCATTTCACTTGTTCTTGTTTGTGTTTGCTCGCTTGCATGCCCTGCATAGCTATAAGAAATACTTAAGTTGTTGGTCAAGACACTTTCCATCTGATGAAAAAGTAGAAAGCATTACATTCAGTTGTAACTGCCAAAACAAACATTTACACTATTATGGCCCCTGTTAAAAATGTTTGTAACGTTATCTACTGTAAGTTGGTTGAACGAATGCCTCCTCATCCGGAAGCTGACCGAGCAGACCCGAGCAGCAGTCGAGAGGAGCCGAGCGCATCCGCGAAGCATACACAATGGCGACGTCAGAGTTCCCGTTGGCCGGCAAATCTAAATCTCTTCGGTCACAATAATTTCCCTTTAGCACAATACCGCTTCAGTTGCGCCACTTATGTGACAGACAAGAAGAGTATGTGACAGACAAGAATAGTCAATTCTAATGTCTAACACTTAATGTGGAGAAAGAGATGTCCTGTATGGGTTGATTGTGCGTTGATCTGTTGGTAATGCCTCGGGGTTCCGGTGGGCATGTAAACAAATGCATAATGCTGCGCTATACTTTGTGGCCTCACCCAGTTGCATAGCGACGCTTATTGTTTAGGTGTCTTGATAAGCAGGTAGTCATATCATTAGCTAGATCTGATCGATATGGACATAAACGCGAGTGAAGTCTAATCTGGCGGGAGAGAGATCAGCTGCTGCTGACGAGTCGACACGCAGCTCTGCATGATCACCTGCAGCGGTGAGCGGAACAAAACACACTTAGCTATTTTAATTACCTCTCAAACTACCTAAACTAGTTATTATGTTTGTTTTATGTCGGTTCACTCATTACTGGATCCGCGAGCAGCATGATACTGACGGGCTGTCAGGAGAGGGAGAGAGCACTCCGTTTATTCCCGTGTTATTATAATAAGTTACTGTACACTTTTGAATAATGTAGTCTAGTTAATCTACTATAATTGGTTTGTTTAATAACGAATCATATCAATTTGTTTTAAAGCTAAATAAATAACAAAGAAGACCTTTGACCAACACTTTTCTAATTTTGTCCGGAAGATTTCAACTTTAACGGACAAAGAAAAAAAAAACTGAAACTCTGGCGCGAATATTTTCTTCCCCAGATCCTTCCTGCTACCAATGTAGTACTTTCCTGGGGAGTAAATGGTTCNTTCGAGAGCTTTGCGGTTCCACCGGCTAGCAGGGACGGTAGATAAAGACGGCTTTGGCCTTTGAGCTGTGGTTAATCCAAGAAAATGGTAGGTAGAGGGTTTTCATTTCCTAGGTAAGGCCTGGGGACTTGTTTGGGGGGGTGGGGAGAGGGGAGTGCAAGGGAGCCCCATTTAAATCCCGATAAGAACCAAATTTTAACCTTCTGTTTAAAGGATTTGTTAGCAGGCCGATGACGGAGTGTTTGGTTGTTGGAGGGAAGTGTTTTAGGGGGAATGAGTTTAGTGTCCTGTTTAAAGGATGGTCTCCTCTGTCGATGACTGTTCCGGAAGTTCAGTAGATTTGGGGGGATTCTGGCCTAAAGGGAGCAGAGGGGGGAGCAAGAAGAAACCACCCGCCCACACACAGCACGACAGCACGCGACGACACAACACACACCCGACAAAGAACCACGACACCCGAACCAGCATACGACTGCTGAAGAGCAGAGGAAGCGAGGAGATCAACAGAACTGAGCTTGACTTACCTGGTGGATTTCGCCGCCCAGAGAGGGAAGGCCGGATCAACCGTGAACCACTTGCCAACTCACTGTCGTAGCTCGCTTCAGGGAAGCTGGAACTCTGCTGTATAAGAGATTGTGATCATTTTGAAGATCGGGCTCTTGTTTGAGTGGTGCTGCGGCCGGGCCGGTCGCTGGAGAGCGAGCTCACAGCAGGTCGTAGGAAAGCCTGGAGCGGGCGGGGGGCTGAGTACTCTGGCAGGAGGCCTTCGTGATTAGGAGATTGGGTGATGTATTTGTATGTTTTACCATTAAAGCAGATTATTGTTTAACTTGTATTCTGGTGTTTCTTAATCCCTTCCTTTTTACGAATTTACCCAGCTTATCAAACGACACGCGGAGACAAGGTTGGTTTTAAACATCCTCCAAATCTCCAACAGTGTGTCGGCCACGCTAATAATTTCTGATGGGCTGGGCGAATTGCAAACCACGAAAGGTTTTGTGAAGCCGCCATTTTATTTGCTTGCATTAGCCCAGCGCACCAACGTAGAGAGACTAACTTATGGCAACACAAAAGAATACATGGGAGCGGTGGAGTGATGAGGAGGTGTCGGCGCTTCTGGCGATTCACTCGGAAGATGCGACCCAGCGGCTTCATTTTGATGGGTGATTAATCGCCGCAGCGAGCATTACCTGCCACTCTGATCCACTGACCCCCCCCTCACACACGCATGCACACACACATTCTTACACAAACAGAAAGTCACGATACATGCGGCTTCATTTGCCTAATCCTCCCTCTGGGACTTATTCCGGTGTGAACGCGATCTGCTTTAGTTCATCAGAACCAAAGAGTTCTGATGGCGCCTTATGAGTTAAACTTCTCCCCAGCAGTTAATAAGGGTTTATACACTGGGTGATCGATTCTAACCTCCCTCTCTCTCCTGATACAGATTCAGAGATCCAGCTGGTGAAGGAGGTCCCCCTCTACAACGATGTAATGCTTCCCTCCACCAGTGACAAGCTGGCTCTGCCTCTCTCCACTCTGCCGCCGTGCGAGCCCCTCCATGTCAGCACCATCAGCTCTGAGGCTGCCAAAGCTGAGAGCTTTCCGTCCAGCACCTTCACCAGCCTCAGATCAGCAGAGGTCAGACACTCAATTATTGTCACACACTTTTTCTCCACTTACTGTTACTATGAACAGCTTGTAATATAAACAAATAGAGTAGTAGATATAAACTAATTCTGTAAACTTTATATTTCGCAATTGCCATTATATTAACAATTAACATATGATGTTCGAAGCCTTCAATGTGCTTGAATGTTACTGTTTGTAGTTGTATGAACCCTTCACTTACGAATATGTAGTGAGAAGTGAATGACCTTGGACTTCTTTTCTCTTTAGGCTGGCAGTCTCATGGACTTTTGTTTCCCCATGGACTCGGAGATGAAATCAGATTCCAAACTAGACTTTGTGGAGAAGCTGTTTGCCATTGATACAGATCCCAAGAACCTCTTCACCACACAGGTAACAATGCCAGGAGATTTTTTTTTAAATGAAACACTAAAGGTTTCTGCCTTCTGATTCTATCCTCTTTTTTCTCCCATGAAGGCGATGGAAGACTTAGATCTGGAGATGCTGGCTCCCTACATCCCCATGGACGATGACTTCCAGCTGCGCAGCCTGACCCCAGAGGAGCCTCTCTCCTGTGGGCCTGTCAAATCCCTGCAGAGCTCTCCAATCCACATCACACAGGACATCCACAGCTATCCCTTCTCCCCGGTCAGTGCACCAGGCAGCCGCACAGCGTCCCCAGCACTTCTCAGGGCCCCTCAAACGGCCCCCATAATTGCTATGAGGTAAGTCCCCAAAATGCACAACATGTGTTGCTTTGTAATGTTTTTTTGTGTTTGCTAATAACCATTACTGTGCCGCAGGACCCCACAGCTGGACAAAGAAGTCTCGCTCAGGACCCTGGCAGCCCAGAATGCACAGCGCAAAAGAAAAATGGGTGACATAAAAGAGATTATTGGACAGGTAACGCCCCAACATTCAAATGTGTTTTTCATCGAACCTACTTTATGTGTTCAGATGGAGATATTGAGTGTCATTTTGTTGATGATTTTCCTAGGGTACTTTGCCCCAGGAACAAGTGGAGCAGGGCAAAAAGCTGAAGGCCTCAGAGTCAGGAACAACCAGGACCATACTCCTGCTGCCTTCAGGTGATTCATACAGATCGGAGATAAATACTTAAGTCTGTTTTTTTATATACAGACCAAGGGGCAACCTAGGGCTTTTAAACAGCATACAGTGTAAGCACTAAACATTAATAGAATCATAACTCTTTAATATCTCGTTCTTCCTCAGACATGGCGAGCCGTCTGCTGGGCTGCACATCGGAGAACACCAGTTCCCTCTTCAGCCTGCCACATCTGACCCGCGACGACTGCGAGGTGAACGCCCCGCTGCAGGGCCGCCAGTGCCTGCTGCAGGGAGAGGAGCTGCTGTGCGCTCTGGACCATGTCAATGTCATCTAACTTCAATTGGAGTCTCTGCCCACTGCTGGACACTACAATTTCTCCCTCATATTGTCACTCCCTCTGCGTGCGTGACCCTAAATGTCCCCCCCCCCCACTGACCCTTATTTATGTATCTGTATGAGTTTGACTATAGTCCGCTGTTCGTGCACCCATGTGATATCTGCAGCATTCCACCGTGACAAACACCATGGCAGCATCTTGGTTTTGGTGCAAGGGGTTCAGGCATCACAAGATGTCCAAATGTCGTTTTTATTGTTTTTGTCTTTCCTCTCTTCCCGGGGAGTCTCTCAGCACACAACGCCTCGACAGATGACCCTTTTCCAGCAGCTCACCACAGACCCTGGCACTACTGCCAGCAGTGTATTGTAAGCTTCAGTCGCACAATTTATATTTTCTTAAAAATAAAAATATTACCAGCAATATATATTATGCCTTTTTAAAGTCGTTCTAATGGGATTTGAACCATTTTATTTTTCCTCCCATACTTGTATGTTGTAGTACTCGTACTTAACAAGATGTCTTTAGTCCAGAAAGTATGAACATATTTTTTAAACCGTAGGTGGTTTGAATGTTATCTCCATTTAATAGCTATCAGTTTTTTAGGTAATTTAATTGTGTAGCAGTCCAGTACATGTCACTTTATTACTTTACTGTAAGTGTGTGTTACTGTACATTTACCAGGGAAAATTGTATTTACTCAGTTGGGCTTCACAGCTTCTTAGTCTCAAGGTGAAATCTGAGAGTAAGCGCCTCACTTTGGTTTTTAATTGCTTCTCATCATGGAGAATTAGCATTTTTTTTTCTCTAACGTGAATTCATGTTTTTAGTTTATACTGTGCGTGACATACTCAAACCAGTATGTTAAAATAAGTGGGATATTCATATTTGACTTGTGTGATCACTATCATGTTAGCAATTGTGAGTTGTCAAACTTGTTGGCTCAGTTTAATACCATTGATCCATGCCATATTATTGGGTCGCTCATGCTTCTTGTTGCCGTCGAATATTAAATGGCTTGTATGGGGTATATTGTTTCAGATTTCCTTTTTTCACAAACACTGTATTTTGGGCTCTGAAAACAAATCATTACATGACTAGTTTAGGCACATTTTCTAGCGGTAGAAAACATATTTATTGTACTGTGGGAAACCGGTGAATAAATACTGGACCAGCATTAAAGCCTTTAGGTGCTGGCAGGTTACGACGATTCAAACTGTTTGATTCTAGAAATGACATCAAATCATTATTTAGTAAACAGCCTTGTAGAGAAAGACAGTTTCAGGCAATACATACTTTCATTTGAGGTATCAACAAAATATTTAACAAAAGTCCTCAAATGCTAGAGCTCAAGATCAAACATTACAACATGTATTAATCATGTGACCCTCTGAAAGAATCACTCTGTGAACTCTGGAGTAATTTGCAGTCGAAGCCGCTTCTGTCCTCTCTGCACCACCATGGTGATTTCGTCGCTGCTGCGGACAGCCTTGTAGATCTCCTCTGAGGTGTTCACCTTCACTCCATTAATCTCCAACACCACGTCTCCTGGTAGCATGCCAGCTCTGAAACAAGGGCCACAGTATTATGGGTTGGCAGCAACATATACATGCTAAATTCATTGCCTACTATAGAAAACATTGCAAAGCTCCACCTCCAACCAGGGGTAATCAGCATATGTATAAATAAAAATTCAATTTATTCTCGGAAACGTTCTAGGTTTTCCACACTCACGCTAGAATGGTAAGTCATCTACATCCACAGTCTGCTTACCTGTCGGACGGGGAGCCCATGATTACTCTGTGAATCAAGATGCCGTGTGTCACGTCAGGGAAGGATGGGTCTCTCAATTTCAACTCTGCGATGATGCTGGAACAAATGGAAAAACAGAAACATTTCAGTTTGGACCCAGCGCTGCTGTAACTCCTCGACTAGGTTTTTTCTGCAGCCCGTCCTGCTTGTTAAGCGTTTACCTCGGCGTCAGGGTCAGCATCATCACGCCAATGTACCGCCGCTTCGTCTCTGACTCGCCAGACCAAGTATCTGGAAGAGGATGCACAAAAACAGGAAGTGTAAAACCTTTTTTTGCTTTCTAAAGAGGAAACAGTTGAATGCTACAGAGAACAGTTTTGAGATTCTGATTCTTACTCTTCTTTTTTGATGCTTGATCCAGAAAGAGTTGCAGGCGGTCAGATGGAATAGCAAAGGAGATTCCGGCTGTGACCTTCATCGTGTTTATACCAATGACTTCACCATCCTAATTACAGCAGAGATAACATTCAGATTGCATGTTATGGCTATCAAAGTCCAGTTAGGTTAAGAAACGTGTGAAGTGTCATTGAAAGGGATGTTTTTTCAAGTTGGTAGGAAGCTACTTGTATTAATTAAAACAATTAAAAACGTTTTAAAGGTTATGCTAATTACACATCATCCCCACACTCAGTTAACATATCCTGTAACAATAAAAAGTTACCCTAATGCAACGGGAAGTGAAATAAAGAGGGTTCTTTCATGTAGCATTTACAACTGTCACAACACTACGTTTAAATCACTAAAAGTCAAATCTAAAGCCACAAACAGAACAGGTTTGGTGATGATGAACATTTAAAGTTTGAATCTGAGACTCACCAAGTTAATCAGGGGACCTCCAGAATTTCCAAACTGCAGAACAGAAAATCAAAGCATGACGTTAATATGAGACATTTCAGAGTCACAGAACTTCTTCTTAGCGAGCGTGGGTTTTTGCTGACCCCATTGTTCATAACATTTATGTGTCAGCGTAACAACATACAGTCAAAGCAATATGTTTTTGTGTACATTTATATCCTTTTAGTACAATGGCAGCAGGAAACTCACATCAATAGCTGCATCAGTCTGGATGTAGTCCATGTTGGAGTTGGACAGACCCAGCTCCTTGCTGCCTCTCTGTACCGAGCTGACGATTCCTGACGTGATTGTATTCCTTAAAGCAAACGGGCTCCCCATGGCAACCACAAACTCTCCTTGTCGAATGTCAGATGAGCGACCGAGGCTGAGCGTTGGTAAAGGATTCTGCATTTAGGGTAGGCGGAGAGATAGCGATTAATAGACACATCCACACTGCTCGTAGGTCAGTCGTACATCAAGGGGATAAAGCTTACTATTTCATCAATTGGCCTGATGCTCCTATCATGCAAGTGTCCTGCCTTTTTTATAAATATAACAGTAATGCTTTTGAAAGGGTGAAAACATAGTATTGCTATAGTGGTTTTTAAGTAGAGCTTGTAATTCTCAGGCAAAGATGGAGTACAGCATTGAGACTATTTAACTGAAGACAAAGAAAATACAATGATCTGACGTATCTTATGATCTTGACCATTAGACAGGCTGAAATCATGAAATCATGTTAATACCAAGTGCAATGGCTGAATTGCCATTTTCTTGTGTTCTTTCTCTTAACTGTTATTACTTCTAAATGATCTGATCCTGTCTAAATGATCTGATCCTGTCTGTTACAGTGATGTAAGCACTTCCAGTGAGGTAAACAAATAAACAACATAAAATTATTTAAGCAGTTGTTTACCCTTGCAGTGATTTTAATGGTGGCAATATCTGCTGCTTGATCAACATCTTGCACAGTGGCATTGTACGTGTCCCCGTTGGTGAGCTTCACACGGACGCCTCTCTTGTTGGCCACAACATGAGCATTGGTGACGATGAGACCGTCACTGCTGATGATGAAACCAGAGCCATTTGACACAGGGACTTCTCTTCCTGAAAATGGGTGTCTGTAAAACAGTAACAGTAGTTTATTTATTCAGCCTGGAAAGGAAATTCATTAATAAGTTAATCTGCACAGAGAGAGGAATACAAAACATTATTTTAGCAATTAAGAAACATGCAGCTTCTTCAAGATGTTGGTAAACAGGACCTACCTTAAGGTATGTATCAAGTTCTCTGATAGATAGTGTGCTACAATATTCTAAAAGTACATTATTGCTTAATAATTCTCATCAATACCCATGTTGTTTTTCCTTCCATTATTGTATTGTTGAAGCTTATTATCATTGTGTGTTTTTTTTAAAAACACGGTTGAACAACATGCACCACGAAGGAAAACAGTCTTTAACTCAACTCACCTGCCCACGATTTCAATGTACACTACAGCTGGATTAGACTTTTCCACCACATCTGCAATAAAGTTGTATTTATACCGGGGGGTGTCGGGTTTAAAGGGAGAGGCACAGTGAGCTGATGGCAGGGTGAGTCCAAGAAGCCGCCCGGATAAAGACACTCTTCCGTCCTCTACATGTTCATCTGTTCGACTGTCCAGAAGAGCCACAGCGCAGAGTCCCAGCCCCACAGAGAGTGACCGCAGCAGGGGAGAGCTGCTGCTGTCCTGACCGCTTCTCCTGTCCCGCTCCACACTGGGTCTCCTGTCGAGGTCCCCCTCTCTGCGGTTACATGTCACCACAGAGGACACCCGGCTCACTGTCCTCTCGGCCAAAGAGTTTAATCCCCGGCTTTGACACCGAGTGTGTCTCCTTAGTGCGGAAAAGAGACACATACTGAGAGGAGTTGCTGCCATGTTGCATCACTTGAGTCACACCGGCTCAGGAGTTTTCAAACAGCGAAACAACACTGTATATCCAAATATATTGAAAGTAATAACAGTCCGCTTTGTTTAAATTGTTAAAGTTGCACTGCTTGTATAAATTAAAAACAATACAGGACATGTTCTTCCTGTGAAGTTCACTGTTCTACTGGCGAGCTAACTGACTGACAACCAGCGGCGACCGCTGAAAAATAAACAAGCTCACCCGGAAGTGTGACTTGACCCGGAAATCGAAAAGTAAAAAAACAAAGACATTTTTTTAATGAACAATAATCAATCTTTAACATAAAAAAAGGGTAGCCTACATTGCATACTTAGTTATATTGATCAGTGGAGAAGATAGCTACATTGAACCAAGTCGTATAGAATAAAATAAAATAACACCAATGACATACTACTATGACTTTTCTCATATTTTTCGACATATTATACTCTTGCATTTTTCATATTTGTTGACGTTGTAAACTATGACTTTTTTTTCAACATGAGACTTTGTTTTCAAATACTATGACTGATTTTCCAACTTCATGAAATAGCATGCTATTACTTTTTAAAATATCTTTCCACATATTAAAATATGACTTTTTTTTCAGCAGCACAGACGGTACAGCATCTTTGGTTTGGGAAGGTACATTAAAAAGATCTCTTATTGTGAAAGGGTGGTCATGTGCGGAAGTGACGTCTTGTTTTGGCAGTACGTCACAGGTTTCTAACCAAACGCGGCGGTGATGAGATATTTAAAATTTGCGGCGAGCAAGCTAGCTGCTAGCATACGCAGCTAGCATTTTTTTCCCTTCGTCAAACCATGGCGTCGCATCAGCATATATCAAAACGCACAAATCCGCAGTTTGAATCTCCTGCCAGGGTGTTTGCTAAGCTCAAGTCTAAAGTGAGAGAAGAGAATCGGTCCGCGAATCAGTGGACTTTTCCAGGCAAGGAGCCGCTGTCTGGCATACGGGAGAAACACGGGGGAGTTTTTAAGTCGCCCAGGAAGAGATCAGAGAGCACTTGGATGACCGAACAATTTAAAGAGAATAAGAGGTCTAGTTCTTATCGTGATGAAGCACAGGCATTAACTCTCTCTCCCATATCGAGTCCTCAGAAAGGTTTCGGTTGCTCGTTTTCGGACATCAGCAGCGAGCGTTTAGAGGAAGTGCCTCTTGGAGGACATGGGTGCACACCGAGAAACAGAGCTTTCCTGGAGTCAACAGCTCTGTCGATCAGACCACCGATCCACACTGAACCAGCTCAGATCGGAGACTCGGCTGGTTTCCATGGGTTCAGTAGAACTTCAGTAAAAAGACAACCATTGGAACATGACTTTGTAAACAATGTGTTTGGTGAGGGCTATCCTCCTGTTGACAAACGGATGCCTCCACCCTTTATGTTGTCACCCATGAGAAATAGATTGAGGAAGAGACCATGGGAGCCGCAGG